CACTAATGGTGAGATCATGACCTGAGCCAAAGTCGGAGGCTTAAGGAACTGAGCCACCCAATGCCCCACTGTACCTTTTTTTTTTTTTTTAACTTAAGTGTGTCTTAGAGCTATACCTCGCTACCTCACTCCCTTTAGTGACTGTCCAGTGTTCCATACTATAAATGTAGACAATTTACATAACCAGCCTTTGATGACTATTTGCAAGGAACACCTTGTTACAAACCAGATTACCCTACAAGAGGCTATGGGGTGTGCATTCCCACCTGCTTTTACTTTCATCATGTGAGAGGGTATGTTTCTTTGTATACTTAATAACCTGTATTTTTAAGCTGTTACTTCAAACTTTTTTTTTTTAAAGAAAGCTCTACGCCCAACATGCGGCTCGAACTCACGACCCTGATATCAAGAGTTGCATGCTCTACAGACTGAGCCAGCCATGCGCCCCTATTTCAGACTTGTTAATGTTTTTCATTGTGATAGATAAAACATATCTTACAATTTTTATTTAATTCTGAGGAAGGATAATTACTTTTTAATTTGTTTAAAAGCCATTGATATTTTCTTTGAACTGCTTTTCCTTATCGTTTTCCTATTTCTAAAAATGTGGTTAATCTTAATGATTTGCAAGAGCCCTTTGTGCGTTAAAGAAGTTAGCTTTTGGGGCGCCTGGGTGGCGCAGTCGGTTAAGCGTCCGACTTCAGCCAGGTCACGATCTCGCGGTCCATGAGTTCGAGCCCCGCGTCGGGCTCTGGGCTGATGGCTCAGAGCCTGGAGCCTGTTTCCGATTCTGTGTCTCCCTCTCTCTCTGCCCCTCCCCCGTTCATGCTCTGTCTCTCTCTGTCCCAAAAATAAATAAACGTTGAAAAAAAAAAAAAAGAAGTTAGCTTTCTTCCATTATTGTGAAAATACTTCTTCCCTTTTTGTTGGAAAACTGATTTGTATGAACCGCATAGATTGATCTAACCATTCCTCTTTTTGGGATGTTTGTGAAAGAGATTTAGGTTCCCAAACATTTAAATTCCTGGAAGTGCAGTGTTTTGACAAACATGGTTTTTAGTTGTGCCTTTACAGTGATTGGGAGAAGCTAACTGTAGATGAGTAGCCTCAGATCTCTTATTAGGAATAGTCATTAAAAAACTTTATTTTATACAAGTGTGTATATCCTTTACTAGCCTGTGTGGCCATAAAACTGTAACACTAACTGATAGTTAACTACCTGAATTATATAAAATGGAAGTTTTGTTGGTTTAAAAATTTTTTCTTTTTTTTTAATGTGTATTTTTTTTTTTTTCCAACGTTTATTTATTTTTGGGACAGAGAGAGACAGAGCATGAACGGGGAAGGGGCAGAGAGAGAGGGAGACACAGAATCGGAAACAGGCTCCAGGCTCTGAGCCATCAGCCCAGAGCCCGACGCGGGGCTCGAACTCACGGACCGCGAGATCGTGACCTGGCTGAAGTCGGACGCTTAACCGACTGCGCCACCCAGGCGCCCCATTTAATGTGTATTTTTGAGAGAGAGAGAGAGAGAGAGAGAGAGAATGGGGGAGGGGCAGTGAGAGAGGGAAACACAGAATCCGAAGCAGGCTCAAGGCTCTGAGTCGTCAGCACAGAGCCCGACACGGGGCTCGAACTCACGAACCGTGAGATCATGACCTGAGCCAAAGTTGGACGCTTAACCAACTGAACCACCCAGATGCCCTACCAAAAAAATTTTTTTTCAATGAGAGAGTGGGAGAGGGGCAGAGAGAGAGAGGGTGGGGGGGAGGGACAAAGCATCTGAAGTGGGGTCTGGGCTGTCAGCAGGGCTCGAACTCACGAACCATGAGATAATGACCTAAGCTGAAGTCGGATGCTTATAACCGACTGAGCCACTCAGGTGCCCCTGTTGTTGTCTTAATGTTACTTATTCTCTAACTTCAGCCTCCTTGCAGATGGGTGTAAGTCAGCCTTTCTGGTTTTACCCAGCTGGATTATAATCGTATGGTTGTTAAAATGAAGATTCCCTGTAGGAAACTCATAATGTAATTATTGGTATATGTAATCTGCTGAGCTGCTCTAAAAGGTCAAGGCAAATTTAATTTGGTCAGAAATAATAGTTGTAGTTTTCTGTTCCTAGCTCTATTTATTTTTGTATTTCTAATATTTTACCTTGCACATTCCATTCCAGTTCAAGCTCATTCGATGTTTGGGAACTATATGTATAGATGGGAAGCCTGTCTGTGGATCAGATATACTAGTCCCTAGATGCTTTTTCTGTTTTACAAGTTTATCCCATATACGAGATTCTCACTTCAATACATTCGTGATCCTTGTATTTTATAGAAAAAGTGATAATAAAATGTTTAGTATCAGAAATGTACTTTTTTCAGCAAAATAATCTTTAATAAGATAATAGTTTATATCTAACTGTGGTCCCATTTTCTCATAGAATGAATAAGAAAATGCAACATTTTTCTTCTTGTGTTTGGACTTTATTCTGATTTCTGAGCAGAAGTGAACCCAGCTTACCAATTTTTATAACTTTTAATTGTAGAGAAGTTGACAAGTGAGATTCAGAGTCGGGAAAATAAATGCATGGCTATGTACAAGAAGCTGAGCAGGTGGCCAGAGTGTAATGCCCTTTCCAGGCGCCTCTTACTGAAAAAGTGAGTAGAGGCTTCTCTTTGGACTATGAGACTGTAGCAGGGCTCTCAGTTTGCACTACTGCTTTTCTTTCTTTCTTTCTTTCTTTTTTTTTTTGGTTGTCTTTTATGTTGTCCGGGCATAAAGTGAAATCTTGTAGTAGTGTGTTTTAGGTATTTTTAAAAGTTTTTGATGAGCCTTCATCTTTCAGTAAAGAGGTATAATCATACTTACACCACCAGGGTGCTGAGTATTAGGTCTTGAGAGTGAATGCTGAAAATCATTAATTTGTTAAATTCAGTATTGGTCTAAAAGACACACCTTCCCCTCCCCAACACCCCATCCCACGGCCCTGTTTTGGGGAAGTGCTAATACGGGTGTTTTAGGAGCATTTGTTTTCTGGATCTGGTCATTTCATTGAAGGAAATAACAGTTCCTTAAAAGTTTTTTACTTGGAAAAATGCCTCTGGAGTTGCCCTTTTAGGGAAACTTGGAAGGGTGGGCTTCTCCTTGTAAAGACTAAAATATAGAAAGTAAGTTGAGTATTATGGTTCTTAGGGCAGACTTGTCACAACTTGGGTTTAATCCTGTGTGCACCATTCAATCTGATTTTAGCTCAGATGACTGGCAGTTCTATCTGACTTATTTCGATTCTGTGTTTCGACTGATTGAAGAGGCCTGGACTCCTCCTGCTGAAGGTGAACAGTAAGTTGATTCCTGAATTCCAGTGGCACTTTTTAGCACATTGTAGCAAAAGGATTTCATTGGAAGCCTAATTGAATTCTGTTTTTCAGTCTCAATAGTGTATCCCTTTCAAAATAAGATTTTTCATTTTTTTTATTGTAAAATAAATATGTTCATTGTAAAAATGTTAAACTAGTGGAGAAATATATGGTGTAGAAAGTGTTAGTTCCTGATTATCCTACCATCCCAGAAATAACATTTTTTTTTTACCTTTTTCCACTTTTATTGAGTTATAATTGATCCAAAGAGCGATCTCTCTCTCTCTCTCTCTCTTTCTTTCTCTCTCTCTTCCTTTTTTTTTTTTTTCTTGAAGTGAGCTCTCTGTTCAGTGTGGGGCTTGAACTCATGACCCCGACCCCAAGATCAGGAGTCGCATGCTCTGCTAATTGAGCCAGCCAGGTGCCCCCAGAGATAACTCTTGATGGCAGTTTAGAGTTTTTTCTTCTAGATTTATTTCTGTCCATATACTAACATAATTATTCCCCTTATTTAACATAAAAATGCAATCATATTAGTGGTTTGCAACTTGGTATTTTCTCCCTTAAAATATATCTTGGGCATTTTTCCATTTTTGGTACATAGAGATCTGTTTCATTCTTTTTTAGTGACTTAAGAGAACTCCCATTTTAGAGATGTACTGTAATTCATTTAACGTGTCTCTTGTGGATGGACTGATGGACACTTGGATTGTTGCTGATTTCCTTTTTTTTTTTTTTTTTTTTTTTTTTTTTTGATATTACAGATAATATAATAAACATGAATGGAATCTTTTTGAAAAGTGAATACATAAGCAGGATTTAAGATGCTGATGAGCTTGTGCTTACTTTGTAATATTAACTAAATCATCTGAATTTTCTTAGCCTTCATTCAAGCAGTAAAGTAAAATTTACTTAGACTTTTTATTAGGTGATATTTGATATATATAAAGTGATCCCTTGTCTTTTTAAGAAAGAGGTATAGGTAGTTAGTCACTGTGTAGTAATCAGATGCCAAAATTGGGAGTAATCATATCCTATGTTACCTGTCAGAATGTGCGCCTAGTTCTCTTTTGCCCCCATGTTATTTTATAATTATCAGAATGCTTTTTATTTTTTAATTTGTTTTTTGAAATCAATTTGGCTTCACTTTAAGTTTTGGGACAGACAGTAGAGGCACAAAATACCTTTTTCATGTGTTTACACCTAGCTCTTTAGAAGGAGAAGTCCATTATTCTGCAGAAGAAGCTGTGAAATTTATAGAAGATCGGATAACAGAAGAATCTAAAAGTTCCCGCCATCTCCGAGGACCACATCTTGCTAAACTGGAACTGATTAGACGTTTAAGACGTCAAGGTTTTAATGATGAGTACAAACTAGGTAAGAAACCCTAATATTATTTGGGAACCCTGGAGAAGATGCAGGGATGCCTTCCATACCCAAGTGCAGTATTCATTATGTGAATTTTGTGAGGTCATTATGTGAGGTATACGATGATGCCGTCATGTTTGGGAAGCAGACATCTTCATAACATGAAAATATTTACTAACAAATGGATTACTGATAAAATTAGCCCTCGATCACATCTTCAACTTGACTTAACATTAGCATCTCTTCCTATTCCACCAGAGTCTTTTTCAGGCATTCTTTTTGACCTGACATTAATGTCAAAATCAGTTTCAAAGTAAAATAACCAGTTTTGTAAAAGTTCTAAGATTTCATGAAGAGGATGGAAAGTTTCTTGAAAATCTCCAAGCGCTCAGAAAACCATTGACAAAACAACATCTGGTGGAGTTAGAGCAATTAACAGTTAAAGAGAAAATTTACAAGGACAATGACAAGATAGGAGAAAAAACATGATTTGGATAGTAAAGCATGAAGAAATGCCTTCAGGAAATTTGATGAAGTGCTTAGATGTTTATTTGAAAATGCCTTTTTAAAAAATGATTATTTATTTATTTTGAGAGAGAGCACATTTGTGTGAGCATGAGGAGGGGCAAAGAGAGACAGGGAGAGAGAATCCCAAGCAGGCTCTGTGCTGTCACCGCAGAGCACATTGTGGGGCTCCATCTCATGAAACGTGAGATTGTGACCCAAGCCGAACCTGAGTTAGACACTTAACCAACTGAGTCACCTAGGTACCTGAAAAAAAATTTTTTTTTTTTTTTTTTAATTGAGAGAATGCACAAGTGGGGAAGGGACGGAGAGAGGGGGACAGAGGATCTGAAGCTGACAGCAGAGAGCTTGATGCAGAGCTCCAACTGATAAACTGTGAGGTTGTGACCTGTGCCGAAGTCAGATGCTTAACCAACTGAGCCACCCCGGCACCCTGAAAATGGTTCTTTTTTTTAAAATGCTCATTTATTTATGAGAGAGAGAGAGGGAACACGTGTGCACGTGAGAGGGGGTGGGGCAGAGAGAGGGGGACACAGAATCCAAAGAAGGCTCCAGACTCATAGCTGTCAGCACAGAACCCGATGTGGGGCTTGAACCCACGAACTGCGAGATCATGACCTGAACCAAAGTTGGACACTTAACTGACTGAGCCACCCAGGATCCCCAAGAAAGAGAATCTTAAGCAGGCTCCACATTCAGAGTGGAGCCTGACACAGGGCTTGATTCTATGACCTTGGGATCATGACCTGAGCTGTAGTCTAGAATCAGATGCTCAACCGACTGAGCTACCCAGGTGTACCTCTCACAACCAGTTTTGAATTCCATGTTGACTTCTGTAGGTCTACTTAAGGAACCTTAGTCTCTGTTATTTCCAGAAATGCAAACGAAAATTTTCATGTGACCCTCTGCAAAATGTTGAGATAGATTCCAAAGAATTGCTTTTTTTCCAAAGCTGGATAGAAAAGTTTGAATCTGCATTGACACTTGGCTGTATCTATCTCTTGTCTTTTTCTTCCCTCTCACCAGCCTTCATGTTAGAAATTTGTGACTTTTTAAAATTTATTTATTTATTTTTTGTGACAGAGAGAGAGTGAGAGTGAGAGTATGCACATGCATGCGAGCCAGGGAGGAGCAGAGAGAGAGGGAGAGAGAATCCCAAGCAGGCTCTGTGTTGTCATTACAGAGTCTAATGTGGGGCTTGATTCCACAGACCGTGAAATCATCATGACCTGAGCTGAAATCAGTTGGACACTGAGCCACCCAGGTGCCCCAGAAATTTGTGACTTTGTCTAGTCTACCCAAAATTCTTTTTGAAGTAAACTCTACCTCCAACAGGGGGCTTGAACTCATGACCCTGAGATCAGGAGTTGCATGCTGTACCGACTGAGCCAGCCAGGGGCTTCTGCACAAAATGTTTTTTACCCAGACGAGTGAGTGATTCTTAGTGACTTGGATTATAGTCCTATGAGAATCTGATGAAAGCCATGGACTTCTGTTCCCAGAATTGTGAATAGGAACCAAGACCTAAAATCTTACCGAAATTCCAGGTTAAAATTTTATGTTTCTTATTTTAATTTTTTAAAAAAATGTTTATTTTGAGAGAGAGAGAGAACGCTAGCAGGGAAGGGGCGGGGAAGGGGAGAGAGAGAATCCCAAGCAGGCTCTGCACTGTCAGCTCAGAGCCTGAATTGGGGCTTGATCTTACAACCCTGGGATCATGACCTGAACTGAAATCAAGAGTCTGAAATCAAGAGTCAGATGGTTGGGGCACCTTGGTGGCTCAGTCCATTGAGTGACTTCGGCTCAGGTCATGATCTTGCAGTTTGTGAGTTCAAGCCCCACATCAGGCTTGCTGCTGTCAGCCTGTCAGCACAGAGCCTGCTTTGGATCCTCTGTCACCCTCTCTCTGCCCCTCCCCCGCTGGTGCTCTCCCAAAAATAAGTAAATATTAAAAAAGGAAAAAAGTTGGATGCTGACTTAACCAACAGAGCCACCCAGGTGCCCCCAAAATCTCTGCTGCTTAAATCTAGTTCAGTTTGAGAGTATCTTACTATTATTATTATTATTATTATTATTATTATTATTTTAATGTTTACGTAGTTTTGAAACAGAGTGCCAGCAGGTAGGGAAAGAGAGAGGGGGGGAAGGAGGATCTGAAGTGAGCTCTGTACTGACAGCAGTGAGCCTGATGTGGGGCTTGAACTCAGAAACTGTGAGATCATGACTTGAGCTGAAGTCGGATGCTCAACTGACGGAGCCACCCAGGTGCCCCTATTATTTTGTTTTTAATGTGAGGAAAAATAAAAGGAACTGGTAGCTTTCTGCAGATCCAGGTTTAAATTTTCCATAGTGAATGATCTTGTTGGAGTTACTGGCTTGTGACTCTCCTCATTTATTTTCTCTCCGTTGGTGTGCCTGTTAAACATTCCCTTCCACTTAGTTAACATTTATTTAATACTTGGTAAGTATTTCAGGAACTGTGGAAAGAAACGTGCTTGTTTAATGTTTGTTTATAAACTTAAGTCTTTATTTAAACTTTAATGAAAACTTTTTAGCTATTTAAACTTTAATTCAATGGAAAGCATCATGTTTCCTACATGTAATAACATGTAAGCTGATTTTGTAAGATTCAACTTCTTTTTAAAGTGTTTGTTGAGTTTTAAATGGGCAAGCCATCCTCCAGCCCTCACTGCCATTCTCATTTAAGCACTCAAGCAGAATTTTTATTTAATTGAAATAAATATTTTTCAAATCATACCTCTTAATATAAAAATTATTTCAGTCCTTGAGTTAATTTATTGATTTTTGTTTTCTCTCTTAGGTGATCCAGAAGAATTAATGTTCCAGTATTTTAAAAAGTTTGGGGATAAGCCTTGCTGTTTTACAGACCTCAAGGTGTTTGTTGACCTCTTGCCTGCTACACAGTGTACAAAAGTAAGTATACTTCAGAATCCTGTTGGGTGCTTGTATTGAGGGTAACAAGGGTAACTGTATGTAAGTTGGTGGATGCTAGATATCAAGATAACTGCTCTAGCAAGCAGGGACTCTAGGTGCTATCAGATGAAGACATGATTTCTTGTTAAGCCACAAGGAAGATAATTGGATTGTCTTTTTTGTTTTGTAGTGTGTGTGTGTGTGTGTGTGTGTGTGTGTGTGTGTGTGTGTATGTGTGTTTTGAGATAATTGTAGATTTATACGTAGTTGTAAGAAATAATACAGAGATCTCTTTATACTCCTTCCCATTTTGCCCCAGTGGTAACATCTTGCATAACTACAGTATAATAACTTAATTAGGAAATTGACATCGATACAATCCATTGACCTTTTTCAGATTTCACTGTGACATTTGTGTGTGTACGTGTGGTACCTTACATGTGTGTTTAGTGTGGTATGTAGTGCAGTGGATTCGGTGACCTCCACTAGAGTCAGGATACAGAACAGCTTCGCCACCAGATTCGGTGGCTGCCTTTTTTACCTGCAAACTTTTCCCTGCAGCTCTCTCTCCTGCTTTCACCCCCTCCCCCGGCAACCACAATAATGTCTTCTATTTCTGTAATTTTGTTATTTTGAGAATGTTGTATAGCTGAATCTGAATCATATTATATGTAACATTTTCAGATTGGCCCTTTTTCCTCTCAGCATAATTCTCTGGAGATTCATCCATGTTACATGTATTACTAGTTCAGTCTTTTGTATTGCTGAATAGTGTTCTGTGTTATGGATGTGCCACCATTTCTTTAACCTGTTGAAGGACATACAGTTTCCTGTTTTTGGCTGTTACAAACAGAGCTTCTGTGAACATTTGTGTGCAGGTTTTTTGTGTGAACTTAAGCCTTCATTTTTCTGAGGAAAATGACCAGTAGAGCAAGATAGCTGCATGTTTAGTCTTTTTTTTTTTTTTAAGATATGACCAAACTTTTTCATGGTGACTGTACCATTTTAAATTCCTGTTAGCAGTGTATGAGTGATTCAGTTTCTCTGTGTCCTCATCAGCACTTAGTGTTGTCACTATTTTTTTATTTTAGCCATTCTCATAGGTGTGTAGTGATATTTTATAATGGTTTTAATGTGTATTTTCCTAATGGTTAGTGATGTTTAACATCTTTTCATGTGCTTATTTGCCATCTTTATATTCTCATTGAGATGTGTTCTTCTATCTTTTGCTTGTTTTCTAGTTGGTTTTGTGTTTTTACTGTTGAGTTTTGAGAGTTTAACTATTCTAGATACAAGTCCTTTGTCAGATATGTGGTTTCACGTTTTCTCCCAGTCTGTAGCTTGTCTTTTCGTCCTTTAACAGGATCCTTTGAAGAGCAAAATTTTACATTTCGATGCATTTATTTTGGAATACTTTTCAATTTACAGAAAACTCACTTGGATAGTGCAGAAAATTACACTACACCCTTCACCTACCTTGTTAACATCTTAAATTACCATGGTACACTTGTCAACAACTAAGAAATTGACATTGGTACATTACTATAACCTCTAGATTTTATCTAGATTTCTGCAGTTTTCCCATTAATATCCTTTTTCTGTTCTGCGATCTAATCTAGAGTACCACACTGTGGTTAGTTGTCATATATTGGGAGTTTTTGATGTGAATGAACCAATGTAAGATTGTTACATAATGAGATGGAGAACCTTGTTTTTAGACTCCTCATCCATGGCAACATTTATCCAGAGTATCCCTGGTAACAGGCAGCTGGAGCATTCTATCAATTGGAAGGACAGTGTATGTAGAGTAGGAGAGAGCACCACATAAAGAAATACTGGCATGTATAAAGAAAGTCTGTGACTCTGGTCGGCTTTACTCATTAGTGCCTCTGTAATTAGTGAAGGTTGGAAGCCTTCCTAATGCAGGGGTGCCACCACCTGTTCTCTCAGAAAGCCTTCTGTCACCTCCCATAGTGGAGGTGACTAGACTATGTTTGGTGAGTCATGTCTTCAGTCCATCAGGTTTGATACTTGGCAGTCTTGAGGTGACACATCTAGGGCAGATGGAGCAGTGTTTTCCGAAACTGGTAAGTCGCCAGTGGTCTGTATTTAGTTATGAAATGAGGCTCACCATTCTCTTTGATTTAGTAAAGCTATTCTTGGAGCACCATGTTACAGGGCTCAGGCCAAGCTTTAGAAGTTTCTGGATTAATTACAATTAATTACATTTACAATTGTAATTAATCCAGAAACTGGATCCTGGGTTGTAGGAGGACGTGAAAACGTATGAGAGAGAAATAGTTGAGTGGAAGAGAGAGGTTTGGTCTGATGAGGACAGAGTCCTTTTCTCATATTTGAAAAGCTCCCTTATAAAAAGCGGATGAGAATTGAGACCAGCAGGAAATTGTTACAGGGAACTTGGAATTTGGCCAGTGAAAAATAGATTTTTTTTTAATAGAATTCTCTAAAAATGTAGTGTGTGAGTTTCATGGTGCTGGTGGGATTTAAGCAGAATCTAGAACCACATGGGAGAACCACATGGGACAGGCCTTCAGTTAATGTTTGTTGCATGTATTATGTGTAAGTGCTAAGATTTGGAACAATTGATCTTAGTGTCCTTCCCATCTTGTAAGTTGAAGCACTAAATGATGGGACTGCATTAGAGGAAACCTTAAATGGCTTTCAGCTGAGATTCATAAAGTTTTGCTAACATAAATCTAGTACAAGGAGATCTACTCTGTTGGTTATGTTTGACAATCTTAGGTCACCTCACATGACCTCATATATTAATAATCTGTGGAGAGGAACCCTCTAGAAATGCTGGGATACTGTCAGTGATAGGTAGTCTTTGTTCTGTGAGACAAAGGATGTGAAGCTGTTGCAATGAATTTGTAATTCCACTTAAATTTTTCATTGAGGGGTAATTTTGCTGCCAAAACTTTTTAAATGTAGGATGACTTCAATAGCTAAAAATCCTGCTACTCAGCAGTGTATTTGTCAGAGGATTAAACTGTTTGAGTAAAGTTCAGGCTGAGAACTGTAGTCCCAATTAATTAGGAGCCAAATGCTTTTAAAGTAGGCCATTGAATCCAGTTATCTTGAAGTGGCTCAACCAGGGTGATGTTTTTATCTTCTGTTTTCTTTGCCTTGGAATTTTAAGCTAAACATATGATTCCAGTTTTTAAAGAAGCTTTTTGTACAGTAGTAAAACTATACAGACTGAAATAAAGAATGAATGTATTCTTTTATGACAAAACCTATTTGGAAGATTCTTTAAGCATTCCCTAAAGAAGGCATTAATAGTAAACATCACTAATATATAAAATGGTTTACAACAGTGGAACAGCTGGCAGTAGAAGCTATACAGGCATTTAATCAAAAGCATGGAGACCAGTGCTTTAGTTTCTTTGTTGCAAATGATTACCTGATCATAATAATTAAATTTCATACAATTGGAGATAAATTGAAGCAAAATTGTTACAGATGTGAAACTGCACAGCGTGGGGAGGGGGGTGGTTTATTTTACTTTAATTTTTATTTGTGTAGAAAATATTACATGTATAAAGTTAAAAAGCCAGGTAGTACTAGAAGGCTTTTGTTGAAAAACAGCAGTAGCTCTTTGCCACCTTCACCCTGGTTCTGGCGCTCTACAGGCAAATCACTCAACTCCTGTTTCTTCTGTTATTTACCTCCGTATTTCTAAGTTATAGACTTGTCCGGGTATTCGTTTATTTTTATAGTTATAGTCTTCATCTGTTGGAGCCCCACCACTGAAGATGATCATCTCATTTACAACATCTCCCTTCTCTTCTTACATACTTTCTCCCCAGTTTAGTTCAGTCATTATTCAGAATTTATATTTTTATGACCGAAGGCTGAGCCACTTTGTATACGGAGATTACCTTTCTCAAACAACTTTCTTTCTTGGAGTTAAGATTGTTTTGTTTGATTCACCCCAGTCAATTGGACAGAACCATACAAGTATAAAACTCTGTTAGTTTAATACATGAGGTGGTAATATGTTCTGTTCTCCCCCAAACCTCCTCCATCCCCTGCCCCTCACCTCAGAAATACTTTATTTTTTTATTTTACTATTTTTTTTTAACATTTATTTATTTTTGAGAGACAGAGAGAGACAGAGTATGAGCAAGGGAGGGGCATAAAAAGAAGGAGACACAGAATCCGAAGCAGGCTCCAGGCTCTGAGCAAGCTGTCAGCACAGAGCCCGACACGGGGCTCAAACCCATGAACCATGAGATCATGACCTGAGCCAAAGTCAGACGCTTAATTGACTAAGCCACCCAGGCGCCCCTTGAAATTCTTAAAAAAAATTTTTTTTCATGTTTATTTATCTTTGTTTATTTTTTCATGTTTGTTTATTTTGAGAGAGAGAGAGAGAGACAGAGAGACAGAGAGAGACAGAGAGAGACAGAGCACCAGCAGGGGAGGGACAGAGAGGGAGGGAGGGAGAGAATCCTAGGCATACTGCGTGCTGTCAGTGCAGAGCCTGACTCGGAGCTCGATCTCATGAACCATGAGATTGTGACCTGAGCTGAAATCAGCCAACTGAGACACCCAGGTGCCCCTAGAAATACTTTTCACGGAGCCTGTTTGCCATCGTCTGTGTTTGGTGTCTCAAACATTTGGCAGGTGGCATTCTGGGATCTGGTTGGGAGTTGGGGGGTGGGGGCCAGGGTGCGCATCACCGAATAATGGAGTTTCACTTTGTCCTTGTTTCGTTTGTTTTCTTTTCCCTTTCCTTTCCTTTCCTAATACAGAGATTTTATCTTTTTATTTATTTAATTTTAATTCCAGTATAGTTTATATACAGTGTTAAATTAGTTTCAGGTGTACAATATAATGATTCATCAATTCTTTACATTAATCAGTGTTTATCATAAGTGTACTTGTTATCCCCTTCACCTGTTTCACCCATTCCCCCTACCCACCTTCCCTCTGGGAACCATCAGTTCTCTATAGTTAAGACTGTTTTTTGGTTTGTCTCTTTTTTCTTCCCCTTTGTTCGTTTGTTTTCTTTCTTAAATTCCACATGAGTGAAATCAGGCAGTATTAGTCTTTCTCTGACTTATTTCTCTTAGCATTGTACTCTCTGGCTCTATCCATGTAGTTGGAAATGGCAAGATTTCATTCTTTTTTGTGGCTCAGTAATCCATTGTGTGTCAATGGACACTTGGGGTGCTTCCATAATTTAGCTATTGTAAGTAATGCTGTAATAAACATAGTGCATATATCGTTTTGAATTGGTGTTTTTGTATTTGGGTAGATACCCAGTAGTGCGATTCCTGGATCACATGATAGGTGAGGAGGTGGAGAATAAAGAACCCTTGTGCACTGTTGGTGGGAATGCAAGCTGGTGTAGCCACTGTGGAAAACTGTGGAGTTTCCTCAGACAATTAAAAATAGCACTTTATCCCCATTTCTAGCTATACCTGTTGTCTGTGAATCTATAGTGCCTCTGGTTCAGCTTCTCCTTGGGACTATACCTACAGGCATCTGCTGGGTTTAGGAAGTCAGTCTATGAGCTAGGGAGCAGTCAGACTTCTTAGATGGAATTTAATTGTTCTTCCATTTCAGTCCCACCAACACTTGGGCTTTCTGGGGCCCTGAATTTCTGCCTTCTAAGGTTCTGTGTCAGGAATAGACTTGCTGCCCCTTGTGTGTGTTAGATTTCTGCCCTGTGCATCGGTTAGCACTTGACACCTGCCCTTCTGCTGCTTTTTATCTTTGAAATCCTGTTAGTGTTTGTTTGCTGTCTGCTTTTCACATGTTCGTGATCCTTGTGGTTTGATGTTTTGTTGTCACCTTAATAGGATTTTGGCAGTGAGTAGTAAGCCCATGTTTAATAACGTGTAATGGGAATGATACATGTTTTTTTAATTCCAAATTTAAAGATTCAAACACATTAAAATTTTTTTTTTAACGTTTATATTTTGAGAGGCAGAGAGACAGAATGTGAGCAGGGGAGAGGCAGAGAGAGAGGGAGTCACAGAATGTGAAGCAGGCTCCAGGCTCTGAACTGGTAGCACAGAGTCCAACATGGGGCTCGAACTCACGAACCATGAGATCATGACTTGAGCTGAAGTCCGATGCTTAACCAACTGGGCCACCCAGGTGTCCCTGGAATTAAAAACATTTTAAGACAAGGTGTTACCGTTGGGAGAAACTGGATGAGAAAGGTACATGGGATCTCTCTGTATTATTTCTTACAACTGCATGCAAATCCATAATTATGTCAAAATACAACAATTAAAAAGCAAGTTAAGGCCACTGATATGACATAACTATTCCTCTCAGTGTGTAACGTTTTCTTTAAGAATTTACTCGTATATCAATTTTGTTTTTGGTACTGTGCTCTTTGCAGTTTCCTAATTAAACTTTTCATTGCCACACTATATAGTATGTTGATATGCTGTAATTTATGAAACCTTTTTGCAATTCTTTTTTTTAATGTTTATTTTTTATTTATGAGAGAGCAAGAGAGAGTGTGAGCAGGGGAGGGACAGAGAGAGAGGGGGACAGAGGATCTGAAGTGGACTCTGTGCTGACAACAGAGAGCCCGACGTGGGACTCGAACTGATGAACCATGAGATCACGACCTGAGCTGAGGTTGGACGCTCAACCGACTGAGCCAGCTGGGTGCCTCATTTTCACATTTCTTTTAATCTTTTAGTTAGTATAGTACCTGGTATTGACCAATACTTGTGGCCAGCAGTGAATGAGTGTACTATTTTTATTGGCATTTTACCAGCATTATGTGCTGTTAGAAATTTTTTTTTGTTTTAGGGGCACCTGGGTGGCTCAGTTGGTTAAGTGTCTGACTTCGGCTCGGGTCATGATCTCATGGTTCGTGGGTTTAAGCCCCGCATTGGGCTCTGTGCTGATAGCTTGGAGCCTGGAGCCTGCTTCAGATTCTGTGTCTCCTCTCTCTCTCACTCTCTCTCTCTCTCTCCCTCTCCCTCCCTCTCTCTCTCTCTCTCTGCCCCTCCCCACTAGAACTCTGTCTCTCTCTCTCTCAAAAATAAATAAACATTAAAAGAAAAAAAAATTTTTTTTTTGTTTAATTTTGGTAGATAGAAAATGATCTACTAAAGGGGTTTTAATTTGTACTTTTTCCTTGATGTCTTTTTCTAGACCATTTCAACATTTGTTAATGTTTAATTTGTTAATGCCTACCAGAGACTAGTTCTGTTTTGAGATCTGTGCTCCTTTTTTTCTACTTTGCAGTTTATTAATCAATTACTTGGAGTTGTTCCTTTGTCGACACCAACAGAGGATAAGTTGGCACTGCCTGCCGACATCAGAGCTCTGCAGCAACATTTATGTGTGGTGCAGCTGACGAGGTTACTTGGCTTGTACCACACTCTGGATAAAAATCAGAAACAGAGTGTGGTCAGAGAATTGATGTTAAGGTACCAGCATGGACTGGAATTTGGTGAGCAGCCTTTCAAAGTGTGCAGTTGTTCCCTGATTTGCTAAGTTTTAGAAGACCTTTTTTTTAATCACCTGGAGCACCTTGTTGTAATGAGTTTGGCAAGGAGGATATTTTGTCAGGTGGGAAGACTGTCCTAATGTAAAGCCTTTCTTAAGTTTGGAGTTTTAAGTGATTATAGTTGTCCATATTCTTCCTGATTGAGCTATCACATTGGGGCTCCTATGAATTACATGGAGTTTATGATAATTGTCACTTTTTCTGCTTTTATAGGCCTTAGTATTTTTAATACATAGACTGAAATTGCACTAAAGGAATGTTGTTAATTGTGAAGTAAAAATGTAGTTTAGAAATAGATGATCTTTAGATTGCTAGATACATGTGATAAAATATAAGTTATCTGACCAGATGACATCAGTATTTCTCTAACTGTATTCTAAATCATTAAGTGAAGTAATGAGCATACTATTACTTTAGTTTTACTGGCCCCTGGCTTCTGGTCTTTTCTTAACCTGAACCCTCCTTCCAAATCTTGCTTCTCTCCCTTTGGGGTCATTTCAGATACCACCTTTGTTCTGGAACGCTTTCTTCTGGTCCAGCTGAGTGTGGCCTTACCTTATTTTGAATCTTTTGATTCATGACTTATATTTTCTTCTGGTATTTATGCTAATCTTATTACTTTCATTTCCTCTCTTTATCTTCCCTCTCCTGTCACTTTCCTGCTTTAAAAAAACTCCTTTGGGGCAGTGATAGTTGCACAAATGTTAAAATACAAATATGGGATTTTTTCCCTACAGGGAAATCCTGTTTGAAAACCGAATTGCAGTTTTCAGACTATTACTGTCTCCTTGCTGTCCATGTGCTTATTGATATATGGAGAGAAACAGGTAAGGAACAGTGATTTCAATTTAACTTTTTGCTTTGTTTTTATTGATTATAAATCCTGAGACTAATTATGTAATCCAAGAATTTTATTTATGCTTTTAGGTTTTTCTTCTTTGACGTTGTCCAGGGTGCTTCTAAAAGAACCCATCCCCAGATATCCCTCTCTCTCTAATCAGGATAATCTTTTAAATCAATGCATATATGTTCTTATTTTTATTATTTTATTTATTAAAATGTTTATTTTGAGAGAGACATACAGCACGAGTGGGGGAGGGGCAGAGAGAGGGAAACCAGCAGAGAATCCCAAGCAGGCTCCATGCTGGTCCAGGCAGGCTCCTGATGTGGGGCTCGAACTTAGAAAACGGTGAGATCATGTCCTGAGCCAAAATCAAGAGTCAGATGCTTAACCGACTGAACCTCCCAGTTGCCCGTTTTTATTTAAAAAATGTTTTAAATTGAAATATAATTGACACATTAATTTCAAGTGTACAACACAGTGATTCAATAATTTTGTATATCATGCTATAAATGTAGCTACTGTGTGTCCCCATACAGCACTATTACAGTACCATTGCCTGTATTTTCTATCCTGTGCCTTTCACCCCTGTCCCTATTCATTCCAGGACAGGAAGCCTGTACCTCCCACTCCCTCTTTTTGCCATTCCCCCCCGACAACCACCAGTTCTGTGTATTTATGGGTCTGTTTATGCTTGGTTTGTTTTATGTTTTAGATTCTACATATAAGTGAAATCATATGGGATTTGTCTTCTCTGACTTATTTAGCATGAAACACTGTAGGTCCATCCATGTTGTTGTGAAATGGCAAGATCTCATTCCTTTCTATGGCTGAATAATATTCGTGTGTGTGTGTGTGTGTGTGTGTGTGTGTACACCACATCTTCTTTATCCATTCATCTATTGACGGACACTTGGTTTGCTTCCATACCTTGGCTGTTGTAAATAATGCTGCAGTAAACATGGGGGTGCATATATCCTTTTGAATTGGTGTTTTCATTTTCTTTTGGTAATACCCAGTAGTGGAATTACTGAATTGTGTGATATTTCTGATTATTTAAGGAACCTCCACATTGCTTTCCACAGTGGCTGCACCAACTTATATTCCCACCAACAGGGCACAAGGGGTCCTTTTTCTCCACATCCTTGCCAACACTTGTTATTTCTTGTCTGTCTTTTCTGTTTTTAAACATTTCTAAATATAGTGAATAATGACTGAAGTGCGAATTACAAAGTTACAGTAATTAAAATACGGAGAAACTGTTTCAGAGATAGATGTATAGGCCCATGGAATGGAATAACCCTTTGTATTCATTTAAAAAATATATATGTAGGAGAATGCACTTTTTTTGGAATAGTTCTAATTAGCCTATTTAAGACAAAAATACAGTCCATGCTGAAGGAGGCGTCATGTATCATTGAGCATGAAAAAGATGATTCATTTTTTTTAGGGCTCACTCCTGACATTTTCTTTTATGAGCAGTTTTTTTGGGGAAAAACTTAGGTACTTGTTGCATATTCACGAGAATAAACTGCACAAGAAACAGAAGGCCCAGGAGACAGCACTGTGCAATATAGATAAAACCCCTGCCCTCGGGGGTCGTTTCGTGGAGCACTTGATTTTGATTTCATCATCCTCCTGCTTAAAATCCTTCAGAGGTACCTGTTTTCCTGGGGATAAAGATCAACCTTTTTAGGGTAGTTTACAGTGCTCTTTACCATCTGGCCTCTGCCTCTATCTCCAAATTCTTAGGTTACTTACAGCCTGTATCTATTGTGTTTTGTTTGTTGGTTGGTTGGTTTGCTACTATTAGTGAACACTGTGGTGCCTCTCTTTGAAATAACTTTCTTACTCTCTTCATCTAACTTTTACTCAAACAGTGCCTCTGACAAGCCTGTCTTGATTTTACCCCCGTACCCATTGCGGATTTTATGCCCCTTCTGAACTTTGTAGGATGTTGTGTGTGCCTCTGTGCTAGCACTTCTTGCACTGTATTGCAGCAGAGATGGGGGTGAAATCCTTTTTATCAGACTTGTCATCCGAGGCTCAGAATTGTGAGTGTGCATAGGGATGTAATAAAACATCATTAATGAACTGACCACTCAGTAATTTGGTCCCTACTCAGATAAGATACCTTTCCCCACTTACCCCTAGCATCCATTCTTGCTCGTAAGAGACTGTGGCTTTGCTAATCTCTTGTTTCTTTGAGCAGTGTGTCTGCCCATATAATAATAGCTAACGTTTGTTGATCATCAGGTACTTGGAAGTGTCTTATATGAATTAGCTCATTTAAACCTCATAATAATACTGTTAAGATTGTTGCAGTTTTATAGATGAGGGAAAGACAGGGCAGAGAGAAAGAAGTTAGGCAAATTTTCCATAATCATACCGTGTAAATACATTGGAAAATTGCCAATATAATAAAGATGCAAGGATTGTTGAAGGTGAAAATGATACTGAAGTGTTCCAATCAGAGGCACAGTCATTGTCTAACGTGGATCTGGCAGAGATTAGAAATCTATGGAAATTTGGTGAGGATGTTGAAAGAGACTGATTTGAATGTGAAAGATTAAGAAGAACACTTGAATACATTGACGCTGTCAAATATTTTGCAGAAAAGCATTTCTTTATGATTTAGCAAAAGTAAAATATGGAGTTAAGCATGTCATTTTTTCCCCTCCAGTTTTATTGATATGTGATTGGCATACTACTTTGTACTAGCTTAAGATATGTAATGTAATGATTTGATATGTCTACCATGAAATGATTATCACCGTAAATTTAGCGAACGTGGATCACCTCACAGTCACAGATTGTTTTTCTTTGGAATGAGAACTAATATCTTCTCGCTTAGCAGCTTTCGAGTATACAGTACGGAATTGTTAACTATAGTCACCATGCTGTACGTTATTATATCCCAGAACGTAATATCATTTTGTTATGTTACAACATTTAGTTAGAAAAATTTTGTCCTGGAGTACCTGGCTGGCTCAGTCGGAAGAGCATGTGACTCTTGATCTCGGGGTCATGACTTCAAGCCCCACAATGGGTGAAAAGATTACTTTAAAAAAAAAAAAAAGAAGGAAAAATTTTGCCTTAAAACTCATCAATCCTTGATGCTCTTTTGATTTGGTGAAGAATTTGCATAAAGCTATAATTACAGCCTAAATTTGGCAAATAAAGTAAAAAACGTCTTTATGACATTTGATTTAATAGATGAGAATTAAGCCTTTTTTCCCCTATTTAAAATTTTGTTTCCATCTTAAGATCTTTTTTTAAATGTTTTGTTTTTGGTTTTGGTTTTTGAGAGAGGGCAAGTGGGGAAGGGGTGGCAAGAGAGGGGGACAGGGGATCCGAAGCGGGCTCCACATTGACCGGCTGACAGCAGTGAGCCTGAACATAGGAACGGCAAGATCATGACCTGGGTGGCTCAGTAGGTTAACCATCTGGTTCCGTATCCGGTCATGATCTTGCGGTTCTTGAGTTCAAGCCCTGCATCGGGCTCTTTGATGACATCTCAGAACCTGGACCCTACTTAAGATTCTGTGTCTCCCTCACTCTCTGCCCCTTCTCTACTTGCTCTCTCTCTCTCTCTCTCTCTCTCTCTCTCTCTCAAAAATAAATATTTAAAAATTTTTGAAAAAAAAAAATGATCATGACCTGAGCCTAAGTTGGATGCTCAACCTACTGAGCTACCCAGGTGCCCCAAGGAGATCTTTTTTTAATACTAGTTATCTTTGAATAACTGGAACTTCTTAAAATTATTTATTCCATTATAATTGTCCAGCCGTCTCTTCTACTCACTTCTGAGCTTCTTGAGGGCAGGAACTATCTGTGACCCTTAAATTTAGTGTTGTTCCAGAGTTTAGGTCAGTGAGTGTTAAATTCAATAAAATTATGATTGTGAAGATCATGTAGGAACATCAGAAAACACTTTAAAAGCAAAGAGCAGAACAGAAAATTGGGTGCAGGTTGTGATTACTACCATGTAAAGTAATTCCAGCCCAGAGGCAGTACACTAAGATCATAATGGTAGTTTGCATAGATTATAGGTGTGTATAGTTTGGTTAGGATTATGCATGATATTTATCTAAAGCTCCAATTGTCGATTATATCTTGTTTCTTCTCTCTTAAAAAAAAAGCCTGTAGGATATAATTTTAAAAGCTCAATTCATGGAGCTTTTACTTTAAATTTTTTTTAAGTTTTATTTTTTTATTTTTATTTTAGAAAGAGCACGAGTGGGAGAGAGAGGCGATGGGGGGAGAGAGAGAGAGAGAGAGAGAGAAAGAGAAAGAAAGAAAGAACAAAAATCTTAAGCAGGCTTCACGCTCAGCGTAGAGCTGGATGCAGGGCTCAATCCCACAACGGAGCATCAAGAGTCTGACGCTCAACCGACTGAGCCACCCAGGCACCCCAAGTTTTAGTTTCAGTTTAGGTTTTTGCTGACTATAAAAATAGCTTATACAAATTTTGGAGAACAGTTTATTTTAATCTTCCATTTCCAGCTTCCAAAAGGCACTCTGATATTTTGGCATATTTCCTTCTCTCTCTGTGCATGTTTTACAGACTGAAGATCATTTCTTCACACTAATTTTAACTGTGTGTGTTTTATTGAACGTTAATAAGTATTTATCCTTAATACTAAAAACTCTTCATTAATGTCACATGGCTGCATGGTGTTTTCCATGTGTGGGTTTTACTATAACTTATTTCCTCGTCCCCCCATTATTAGTACAGTGAATATTTTTGTATATAAATCTTTATTTCATATTTTCTTTGGTACACAAAACAGAAGTTACTTGGTCTTTAAGACTCTTGATGCATGGAGCCTTTTGAAGGCCAAACAAAAAAAAAAAATGTGTCATATTAGTCTGATTATTAGTGAACAGTTTTATTCAAGTATCACTTGACATTCAAATAGTAGAGTTACATATGGAAGAAAAATGATGTGTAGTGAGAGCATCTGTCTGGAATCTTATAGAGAAAATCTTATACCGAGAAGGTTGGTGGACTCTAGTTCTCCTTCAGAGTCTATCTCTTCTCAGCATCTAGGATTCTCTGAGATTCCGTAACTTTCTTCATAAGACCTTGCAGCTTAATGTTGGCATCACTTTTGTAGATGCATGATTAAGAACTGTGAGGTAACTGTTGAGAGACTCTATTCAGGGAAATTCCTGATTTTGCTTATAGGTATGTATCTAAAATTTGTTCTGAGACACCTAAACTCATTCTTTAAATAGCTAGGGGAGGTGATACATCAGTAAGTTTTGTCTTTTGTTTGTGAGAAACCTCCCTTTGTTAAGCACTGTGGATAATGCTGTTACATTTTGATTCTAGGTGATGAGACTGCTGTGTGGCAGGCCCTGACTTTGCTGGAAGAGGGATTAATCCACAGCCCTTCCAACGCTCAATTCAAATTGCTGCTTGTTCGAATCTACTGTGTACTGGGTGCATTTGAACCAGTGGTGGATCTGTACTCCAGCCTTGATGCTAAGCATATCCAGCATGACACCATTGGGTTGGTAGTATATACTCTGAATACCGAGCAGCCAGCTACACTACGGTGGGGTCCTTCTACATGGAACTTGGACTTTTAGAGTTTAGCAACAGAGTTGTTTCTGTTATTAAGCTTTTTAGATTAAGTAATCCCCCATTATATGGCCTATTGCAAAGCAGAAAGATTTTTATATCTTCCAGCATTTTGTGGTAATTTTAAAATTTGCACAATTTAGAAAAGGCAAGAAAGTTTTCCCCAGAGATAGCAAACAACTATATACTTTGAACACTTTTTCTTAGCACACGTTGTCTTGAAGTCTTGACTTCTGCTTTGCATTTGAGATTTACACATGTACTTCATTTGTTGACCTCAGAGATTCTTTTTCTTTAATGAAGGGGTTTTTTTGTAAAAAAAAATTTTTTTTACATTTATTCATTTTTGAGAGACAGGCAGAGTGCAAGTGAGGGTGGGGCAGAGAAAGAGAGACACAGAATCTGAAGCAGGCTCCAGGCTCTGAGCTGTCAGTATGGAGCCTGACGCGGGGCTTGAACTCACAAACCGTGAGAGCACAACCTGAGCCGAAGTCGGACGCCCAACCTACTGAGCCACCCAGGCGCCTGGTTTTTTTTTTTTTGTTTGTTTGTTTATTTTTGAGAGAAAGGGTGGACAGAGTGTAAATGGGGGAGAGGCAGAGAGAGAGGGAAACACAGAATCTGAAGCAGGCTCCAGGTTCTGAGCTATCAGCACAGAGCCTGATGCGGGGCTCGAACCCACGAACCATGAGATCATGACCTGAGCCGTAGTCGGACCCTTAACCAACCGAGCCACCCAGGTGTCCCTCGGTATTTTTTTTTAATGTTTATTTTTGAGAGACAGAAACAGAGCATGAGTTGGGGAGCGGCAGAGAGCAAGGGAGACCCAGAATCCAAAGCAGTCTCTAGGCTCTGAGCTGTCTGCATAGAACACAACATGGGGCTCAAACTCATGGACTGTGAGATGTGACCTGAGCCGAAGTCAGACACTTAACCAATAGAGCCACCCAGGTGCCCCTACCTTAGAGCTTCTTTGAATGTGTATTTTGATTATTCTTTGTGATGAATCAAGGGTATATTTTCTTTATCCCTTGTGTCCCGTTAATCATCTGAGTATAAGAAAGCATGGCATAGAACTTTAGGTCTCCCACAAAACTGAATTGACTTTGCTCTTTAAAAAAAATGTTTTTTGATTCCATGAATTAGATAATTTATGTGGCAGGATGTTTTAACTTTTCTGTGTGCCTAGCTATGTCTCTGCTATAGTAATTTGAAATACAGTGTTTGATACTAGAAGTGGGTAAGTATAACATGGTTTTTTTTTTTTCTTTCCTTCTGACCTAGCTATCTTTTGACCCGATATGCCGAGTCCCTAGGTCAGTATGCTGCTGCATCCCAATCCTGTAACTTCGCGCTCAGGTTTTTCCACTCCAACCAGAAAGATGTAAGTGAAAAATACTTTTTAAAAATATGACCTTGCCCGCTGAATGCACACGATTCAGAGAACATCTTCCCTCGTGTGGTGGGTACACATGTTGAAGTGTGCCATGCATACTTGCCAGTGCCCTTAGGCCATAGCATACTCGCCATGGCTGTTAGGTAGAGGTAAAGAGTTCTTTGTGGTTGCTAGAATGGGTGTGTTTAATAGAATCCATGCAAAGGTGCAATTAAAACTAGGTGTTAACAGACTACAAAGTGGTATTTTTCCTAGATTTGTCTTTTAATTTCTCTTTTTTTAACATTTATTTATTTATTTTGAGAGGGAGAGAGAGAGAATCCCAAGCAGACTCCGTGCTATCAGTGCAGCGCCCAACGTGGGGCCCGAACCCACGGACCTGTGAGATCGTGACCTGAGCTGAAATCAAGAGTCAGACACTCAGCCGACTGCACCACCCAGGGCGCCTGTCTTTTAATTCCTTTAAAAAAAAAAAAATTATTTCATGTATTTATTTTATTTTACTTTTTATTTTTTTAAAAGACTGCATCCTTTTTTTAAAAAGAATTTTTAAAATATTTACTTGAGAGAGAAAGAAAAAGAGCACAAGTCGGGGAGGGGCAGAGAGAGAGAGGGACAGAGGATCTGAAGCAGACTCTGTGCTGACAGCAGAGAGCCTGATGCAGGGCTCTAACTCGTGAACCATGAGATCATGACCTGAGCCAATGTTGGATGCTTAACCTACTGAGCCACCCAGACGCCCCTTATTATTTTATTTTTTGAAGTTTATTTATTTATTTTGAGAGAGCGAGCAGGGGAGGGACCGAGAGAGAGAATCCCAAGCAGGCTCTATGCTCAGCGTGGAGCCTGATGCGGGGCTTGATCTTTCAACCAGGAGATCATGACTTGAACTGAAATCAAGAGTTGTATGCTTAACTGACTGAGCCACCCAAGCACCCTGTCTATGAAATTTTTTCTAAGGGTGTAAGACCTAGCCCATAAAGAGTTCATAGCCTGGGATGCCATGGAAGATTCTGCAGTAGCAGCTGCTCTCTGTTACCTTTATTTGTTTCTAAAGTTTATAACCACTGTGCCCTTTGCCAGTAGCCAGTGCACTTGTATTTTCTTAGAATTATGAAATTGACCAATTGAAGGACATTTCAAGAAACTTTTGTCAATAGTATGTTTTTAAAAGTAGCAATAAATAAGGTAGAGCTATGTGCCATAATGAAAGGATGGGATTTGCGCCATATTTTTCACTGCAAGCAGACTTGATCTCCACTTGTCAGTTAAGCAGAAGTTTTATATGGTTTCTAGTCAGTCAACCAGCTGCGCAAAACCACCCAGAACATAGGAGAAAGAAGGCACGTCTTGAGGATGGTCATTGCCTGCTTTGTTCTCATGTGCTTCTAAGACTCATCATCTGGAATTTGGCCATGCCAGATATCTACCCATAGCTTTCTGTGTTCACGGTCTAAGAGCAACTAAGGAACTTGACCAGGAAGCCGGTTTTGGGGGTGGTTCTTGGCAAACAGTCATGAGGATTTTTTTAAATAAAAAACCCTTTCATAACTGTAACAGCTTTGGCTAATCTATCTTCCATTGAATTCTTTAGCTTTGTATTAAGTAGAAGGCAGGGCAGAAGCATTTCTGAACAATGGAATATAGGTTTATTGTTGTCAGCTTGCAATAATTATGTCCTGACAAGCCTCAGGGCAAGGCCTAGAAGGCTGGTGTAGCAAGGGATGGTGAGCTGTGCATCATTTGGCTTTTAAGCTCTATTCCCCTCCCTCAAATGGCATTTTTCCACCACAGTGATTGGTGGTATCTTTGTTCAGACTTCATTTTGTGTCATAGCTCCTAATCAGGAAGAGAGGGAAGTGTAGGCATCAGCATCTGAACATGCTGCTTAGAAGGTGCTGGCCTGGCTTGGAGATCCGAGGGCATCTCTAGGACCTTGGGTTTCTAAAGTATCCTGGCACAAGTAGGCAGTTGAGTTATAAATCTCTTTTTGCACTGTGTATTGAAGTATCTGTGATTGCCCTTTCCCAGTTTTTAAGAAGTTGCATTAACTCAAAAAAAAAAAAAAAATCAAAAGGGTTTCTTAAATCTCATTAATCTGGCTGTCATTCCTTATTTCTAAGGAAGATTGACTGATGATGCCTTTTCAAAGTTTTGTTCTCAAATAGCTCTGAGGTGGCAATTGGGGGTAAATAAGGGATTATTCCAAGCCTGGAGGCTGGTTTTACTCCAGTTTAATCATCCAGCATTCAAGAAGCACTATATGATTCATGATTTGGTCAATAATGTATGTTATTTTATACTAATGAAAATTAAGCTTTAGTTTCCCCCCCACAAATACTATATCTAAAGAGTTGTTTTGAAAAGAAAACAGCCACTCCAAAACAACAACTCAAGTTATTGTTATAGGAAGGGAGATATCCTTAGGAGTGATTTGAGAAGGGTATGTTGTTCTTAGTGACTTTTTTTTATCTTTGATGTTTTGCTGATGGTTGTGTGTGGCAGGAGTGACTAATTCATCTGAATATATGTGATGCTGAACCTGATCATTTTATTGATCTGGGACTAAGTAAGACTCTCTACTTGGAATTTATTTTTATTACTACTAAGAAGAAAGAACTTACTTAATCATACTAAAGTAGATAATCTTTGGGGGGTCCTAGAGGCAAAAGCAAAAACCAATACAGCAAGTAAAATGTACCCTCAACCTTAATGCCTAGCCTGAGTCCCAAAATAGGGAAATGGAGACTGTGGTGTGGACTGTTTCCTATAGGACTTGGAGGGTAAGAAAGAGCATGATTGTAGTGTTGTGTTAAACCTAATAGTATTAGAAATATCTCTGGAAAGCTAAAGCTCTGTGTTCTGATTTTTATTCTTGGGAGTTTTTGAGATCCCCAGATGGTTTTTTCTTGGGTGACTGATGTGTTTCAATTCCCAGCTTGCTCTTGAAAGAACACATTTAATCCTTCAATGGAAAATCCAGCGTTCTGCTTTGTAAGGCTTTGTGCTATGAGGTTGAAAGTTAAATTGGGAAGGTCTACACAGGGATTTTCTTTCTGGAAAGGTCATCATTGTTGCTGTCATCTTACTTTGGAGTAGATTTTTACAATATGAGAATTAGAGTCAGATTTTCTTATCTCCAAAAGTTACTTACTTGTTTGAATTTAAAAATAATTTCCCTTGAAAAGTCTAACATAAGTATTCAAGAAGATGATTATTTAGGGTTTGATGTCCATCTATTTTGCTAATTTTTACAGTGACCAGGGTTCATTTCAGGAATCCATATGGGATATAACTAGCCTCATTGGTGCATAAATGAGTAGAAATAGGTACGGACAACATTCTCTGATAGTCAGAAGTTTTTCAAGTGCCTGTGGCTTCCAGTTTTGCCTGCAGTTCCAGTAGGGGTTGTTTTTTCCAATCATAGAACTTCCCCAGGCTCGGTCTTATTGGAAGATGCCCAGGTCCTTTGCTAGCTCTGCAGCGATACTTTGCTGCAGCATTAAAGGAGGACTGTCTTAAAAACAGAAGCGAGAGAACTACAGTTACTTTCTCAGTTTGTTAAAAGGACTACGTTTCCTTTTTGTTGCCCCTTATTTTTCTTTTTTAAAAGCTATTATCTTTTTTTCAGTAGTGGTAGTCCATGGACCACTCAAATTAAAACACCTCTGTACTTCGTAAACTTGGGTTCTTTTCTTTAATCAGCATATTTTGGAACTGTAATTGATAAATTTGATTGGAGTCCTCAGAGTCATATTTTTATCCCCATTAACTGCCGGATCATATGTTCCCAAGCAGCTGGTTTTTTCAAGCTGTAAATTCCTATTGCAAGGGCTTCTGGTAAACCTTGCTTTCTCCTAGCCATGAGGCCTTTGGATAGGCATTTGTGTTTAGAGCATCCTGGCCTCTTCTTGATGGGGCATATCACTGTCCTTTAATCAAGCTAGAAGGTACACTTGAGCTTTTTTGGATAGTCCTTCTTTAAACCTGCAGGATCACAAGTAATCTTTTTAATTTTCTTGTGTCCGTCCGTCTTTAATTTCTCCAGATACTGCAGGCAAACAGCTCGCCGAGGTGTCCCATGGGGTTTAAAAGCCGCATCGAATGCAGTTGAATTAGCGCCCGTGGCGCAATCCCGCGGCCTGAAATGAACCCTGCGAGGCTGTGTATCAGAGGGTATGTTGTTGAACTATTGGCCTATTTTCCTACTGGGCAAATTATTCAGTCATAATGGAGATGGGGGCAGAGCTGACTGAGGCTGTGTTTAAAAAAACTGGCTTTTCTAGAAAGGATCTTTGGGGCAGATATCTGCTTTGAGCGTAACATTTTCCGTGGCCCAAAAGGGTGCCCTCCTGACTTGTGATCCTGATGGCATAGGCCCACACCCATGAAATGTTCTTTCCTGAGATTTTCTTCTGTTGTGCCAGAATTTCTGTTGAGAGTTCTTTTTCTTGCCTCTGTTCACAACATTTCATCTGTACATATGTATTAATTGAAAATTAAAGTGCACGTGGTGAGTGTTCCCTTCACTTACTTGTTCATGGAATTTTTCAGCATTGGTCTTACGTAGTTTGGATGGATAAGAAACCTGGTTCTTGCAGTCTTTCTGTCCTCATAATGGATTCTGATGAATTTTTATGGGTCCTTTTTTTGTTGTCTTCTATCCTGTTGTAATGCATATATGCCCTATGTTTGTGACATATAGTATTTAGAAATAAACAAAACCAGGGAGCAGCCTGTCTTTTCTGAAGGAGGGTGATTTTTATTTGGGTTGATTGTGGGTGGTTATATTATTCCCGGTGTTTTTGGAACTTTTGTATAAAACACAGTTTATCTTAGTATATGTGCTGCCGAAGCGAGCACAAAACACAGTTTATCTCAGATGCAGAAAAACATGGAGTAATATCCCTTCCACAATGGCACTAACCAAATTTTTGACTGACGTGGCAACCTCCAGTCCTATTGAATTGAAAGACATAACTGCTAAGAGAAAGTCTCTGGTGGTAGCAGCAGCTGGGTATTATTACAAGTAGTAGTAGTAAAGAACACATATGATTCTGGTATAGGAAAGAAGAAAAATAATGTTTTTAATAGCTGATATTCTACTTGGTGACCTTTAGAGATTAGATTTCATATCTTAATTTTAGTGTGAGTGTTTTGTTTTGCATGACAAGGTTTGCCTTCCTTTGCCTGATATGTGAGATATTTATACCGAGGTGGTATCTTTCCTTCCCAGACCTCAGAATATATTATTCAAGCTTACAAATATGGTGCATTTGAGAAGATCCCAGAGTTTATCGCTTTTAGGAACAGGCTGAATAATTCTCTTCATTTTGCACAAGTCCGTACTGAACGGATGTTGTTAGACCTTCTACTTGAAGCAAATATGTAAGTATTGCATAAGAGCTAAAAAGGAACTAAGGGATTAGATCAGATCCTAGGAACCATTGGCTAATGGGTGATATTGGCAGACCTAAGATAAGGAAAAATGGAAAGAAAAAAAGAGAGTGAGAGAGAAATTTGGTAGGGACAGAGAAGAAAGGGGAAATAACTCACTGCGTGGCATGGGTAATGATCGGGTGCTGCCGGCACCATTTCATGTTCCGTACAGAAGCCAGCCAGGTGGTGGTCCTCACCCTATTCCATGTAATTTTTAAAAAGTTCCCCTTCCCCTGTGAACATGAGATTTCAGGAATTAATGCTGATCCACTTTATTTTATTTGAGCTTCCAGACCCTTTCTCTTGCTGTGTAGCAGGCCAACATGATATAGGTGGGCTTGGTTCTATGTCACCTTCTGTGAGCTTTTACCTCTTAATAGTAAATCCTTCTACCTCCCTTCCTTCCTGTTTCTTTTCCTTTCTTTCTAGTAAAACAAAGTTGTGGCTAATATGTTTTCATGGCTGGTTTACTATTGAAATAATACATAAATAAATTTCTATATCACAGATCAACCAGTTTAGCAGAAAGTATAAAATCAATGAATCTTCGGCCAGAAGAAGATGACATTCCATGGGAAGCCTTGCGAGACAACAGAGACTTAAATGTTTTCTTCAGCTGGGATCCAAAAGATAGGTAACTGGAATTTAACCCCAAGCATTTATTTTTGCAGAATTAGGATGAATCTAACAGTTAAAAAAAAAAAACAACAAAACATCTTTTTTACACAAATATAATAACATGGTTATTATATGGATACGAAGATATAAGTAAGCCAAAGGAGGAAAATGAATCTCATTCCTATGTTGGATTATTGACTAATATAAAAATTAGATTTTCCTTCGTAGCATACATAAAAACAGATTCCAGATGGATCAAAGGTCATGTGCTAAAACTCCTTAGAGAATCTATAAGAAAATATAAAAATATTTTTAAGTGGTTAGGGAAAGCCTTTCTTAGCATTACATCAAACCTGGAAACATAAAGGATTTGATCTCTGTAAATATTAGTCTTCTATATAGAAGTAAATTTGTTAACAAGTTCTAAAGGTATGTGGTAAATCGGTAAATTTCTTCATATATATTAATATCTTTCACATACAAGGAGAAATCTTTTTAAAGTTTGTTTTTTTTTAATTTTTTTTGAGAGTGCAAGCCAGGGAGAGGGAGAGAGGGAGTGAATCTTAAGCAGGCTCCATATTGAGTGTGGAGCCTGACCTGGGGCTTGACCCCATGACTCTGGGATCATGACCTGAGCTGAAATCAAGAGTCAGGTGCTCAGGTGCCCCTGTCCAATAGTTAAAGATTTTTTTTTTTTTAATCACCGTACAGTGCATTTCATTGAACTTGTTAAGTCCAATTTGGGTTTTTTTAAAAATTAAATTTAATTTAATTTTATTATTTTTTTAAATTTACATCCAGATTAGTTAGCATGTAGTGTAACAGTGATTTCAGGAGTAGATTCTTTAGTGCTCCTAAAGATACTGAAGCTTCATGAATTTGCGTGGCATCCTTGTGCAGGGGCCGTGCTAATCTTCTCTGCATCGTACCAATTTCAGTATATGTGCTGCCGAAGCGAGCACAAGTCTAATTTGTTTTTTAGTTATCTTCTTATTGATTTATTAAGAGTTCTCCCGGGGCACCTGGGTGACTCCGTCGGTTGAGGGTCCTACTCTTGATTTTGGCTCTGGTCATGATCCCTGGGTCATGGGGTTGAGCCCCATGTTGGGCTCCACACTGAATATGGAGCCTGCTTGGGATTCTCTCTCCTCTCCCCTTGCATGCTCTCTCTTTCTAAAATTAAAATTAAAAAAAAAAAAAAAAAAAAAAACAACTATTGGACAAAGATAAAAAAGATTAATGCTTGTGGTCAGCAAGGTTGTAGGGAAAATGGTTGTTGTACATTGTCATGATGGTAAAACTTTATATATAATCTTCCTATAGGGAATTTTAGTGATCTGTATTAAGATTGAAAATTCCAAATGTTCTGCAGGCTGCACAGATCCTGGGCTGAGCCTTTATTAAGCAGATCTAATATTTTTTGATGCCCATGGGCCAGTGGCCCTGGGCTGATCTGTAGCTCCCAGCAGTCCTCAGCCTTCTCCTCTGGCTCTGATGCATCTAGGGACTCCGGCTGTGAGCTAGGGGAAAGATATGGGTCTTAGCATTGGGGGATGCTGCCTGCTCCTGTGCTGAAGGCAAGAATTGTGAACCAGAATCCTGGCAGGAACTATTTTTCACCCTCCCTGGTGGCCACTTTGTTCTCCCATTTCTGATTCCCTGGCTCCACTCTACCCCAAATTAACCTTTTCTTTTGTTGTTTCTATATGACCTTTTTTATACTTGTTCAGGAAAAAAAAAAAGATTGAAAATTCCATATCCCATTTAATTCAGCAGATCTACTTCTAGGAAAGTACAACCTAAGGAAGTAAGTGCAAAAGCATGCAGAGTTATGTATATGAGGTAGTTCTGTATACAGTTGACCCTTTAACAGTGCAGGGTTGGGGCACTGACCCCCTTACACAGTCAAAAATCCATGTGTTAACTTTTAACTCCCCAGAAACTTAACTACTAATAGCCTACTATTGACCGAAAGCCTTACCAATAACACAAATAATTGAGCAACACATATTTTGTATGTCATGTGTATCATATACTGTGTTTTTACAATAAAGTAAGCTAGAGAAAGAAAATATAAAGAAAATCATAAGGAGGAGAAAATACATTTACAGTAAAACGTATTTTTGCTAGGCTTCATAAGATTCCACTTTTGGTTGTCATCACAGCTAAGGTTTATTATAACAGAAGGATACATGACAGGATTAGCAAGGGAAAAAGACACAGAATCTGGAAAACTCCATGCACAGACTTCCAATGCTGTCTCTCTCCTGTGAGGAGACATATCAAGTGTGCTCCTTTCTTTAGCAGTGAAAAATGCAATGATGCATGTGCAGTGTTTCTGCTCAGAGAAGCCCATTTCAGATTTGGTGCCCAAGATTTTTACTAGCTGGTTATGTAGGCACCCTCTGTGTAGTACGTGCCAATATTCCAGACTCCCAGAAGGAAAGTAGGTGTTCACCATAGACCATATGGTTTGTACAAACAGTTTAGGCACAGTGAGCCGCTCTTACCATTTAGGGAATGGTTGGAGTGCCAAGTTCCTAGATACCAGCTACAGGTCAGCCTTGTAAGTTGGCCCTTCTAAAGACAATAACCTCAGGCTTGTTGTGTGAATTCTTTTCTGCAGAAAAGAAAGAAAAAGATACAGTTTGCAAAATAGTATAAATATTGTGAACCCATCTTATTTGAAATGTGTTAAATTATATAAATATTTTTAGTTGCAGTTGTATACATAATATCTGTGTTGTAAGAGTCTGAAAGGATGCATACCAAGCTTTTTTTTTTTTTTTTTAAATATTTTTATTTATTTTTGAGGGAGTGCAAGCAGGGAGGGGCAGAGAGAGGGGAGGGTGGAAAGGGGGGTGAACAGAGGATCTGAAGCCTGTTCTGTGCTGACAGCACAGAGCCTGATGCAGGGCTGGAACTCACAAACCATGAGATCATGACCTGAACCAAAGTCAGATGCTTAACTGACTGAGCCACCCAGGTGACCCATACCAAGTTTGTTAATATTGCAGGTGTTTGGTTATCAGGGCACATTTCCCTTTTATTTTTCAGTTTTCTGTCATTTGAATTTCAAATATGTGATACATATTTTGTTGTTATTAGAAGTCTCCCTTAAGGGGAAAAAATGACCTGTTAGGTAGGTTACCGCTCCCATTTTATCGATGCTGAAACGGAGACTTGGGCGATTTGGGTTTGTCTGAGATCATTCAGTTAGTAGACAAATGCTGGCAGCGTTCAAAGGCATTGTGATTGATGAATGTGAACTTTGAAAGATGGCAACACATTAACTAAAATGGATGGGTTGGGGATCTTTCTTTTTAAGGGATGTTTCTGAAGAACATAAGAAACTTTCCTTGGAGGAGGAGACCATGTGGTTAAGAATCCGTTCCTTAACATTGAGGCTGATCAGTGGACTTCCAAGTCTTAATCATCCTGTGGAGCCAAGGAACTCAGAAAAGACCACTGAAAATGGCGTGTCCTCCCGGATTGATATTTTTCGTTTACTCCTTCAACAGCTGGAGTTGGCTATGGAGACAGGAAAGCGATTTATTGAGAAAGAAATTCAGGTATCAACAGTATTTACCATCAAATCTACAATAATCTATGACTGTCTTTTTAATAAATAGGAATTTGGGTTGGGGGGATAGTAGAGAACAGTATTTTGTTCCAGTATTTATGACACTTGAATTGCAGAGGCTTCCTCACTATCCAAACTGGATAATGAGGAAAAACAAAATAGCTTCATTTGTGATGGTAAATTTGTAATAGCTATCAACAAATTAATGCAGAGCTTCTGTTTTCACTGTAATGACTTAGTGATTAGTTTGATGATAAGTGGTTTGCAACTTAATCACTGAGATAGACTTTAGTAGTTGTAGTCCCGTTTTCTTGTTTTATATAAATTTAGGTGGATTTAAAAGACATTACTTTCCCTCCCTTTTTTCCAGTATCCTTTCCTTGGTCCTGTACCCACCAGAATGGGTGGATTCTTCAGTTCTGGCTGTTCTCAGTGTCAGACCAGTTCTTTTTATCTTGTTAGTGATATTTATGAGCTGGACACCAGTGGTTTAGGTAAGTATACATTTTTGCGAGTATTTACTAGGTCTTTGCCATTGAAAACTTAGTAAATGTAACAAAATATTTATAACCTCACATCTTTAGACAGATTGGGAGGAGGTAGAATCTATTCTGGAAATATCTGGTTTAATATCCAACAAGGTACATTCATAGGTAACAGAGTAATGTTTTAGAAATTTAAGTCCTTTTCCTCTTTCAAATCACTTGTTAGGTCCAGAAGTTGAAGAAATCCTTAATTTGTTGAAATATTGTTGGATTTCAGATTGAATTCTTTACTAAGCTTTGTGGAGAAAAGTTTTTTCCTTAACCCAGTGAGAATCACACATACTGCATAGATTCCCCCCTCCCCACCCCCCACCCCCCTGGCCAATTATAAATTTTGTAGATTCTGTCTATAAGTATTTGAGAGTATTTGAAGCACATAGATTTTAATTCTTCCTAGACAATTTGAGGTATTGCTCTTGATAGATAATTAATGCCTTTCTTCTATTTTTCCTTTTCTTCATCTTTTTCTTTGTCTCTCAGTAATAGAATTTGAGGCCTATGAGTCTTAAGAGAAAAGAAAATGTCCTTGCCCATGAGTTGCTTATAGGTGTTGATCTTGCTTTTTTCTTCCTAGCAAAATGAATTGAAAGTTTTTCTTTTTCTTTTTCTTTTTTTTTTCTTTTCTGTTTAGAGGATACAGTGGAGATCCAGGAGCGAGTAGAGAATAGTCTTAAGACTTTACTAGAACAATTAAAAGGTAAGCATTCTGATTGTGGATTTCCATGTTTTATCATGTTGTCCGACACTCATTTTTTAGTAGAAACTTGCAAGAGTTGCAAATAATAACTTGAAAATAATAATGCATACTTATGGTATTTTGAAAGACTTGTTTTTAATTTTAAAAAGTTTCGACTATAAAAGTAATAGATAACCTATTATGAAACAGTACACAAGTGGTCTTTCTCCCTTTCCCAGCCTCATTTCCCCAGAGAAGTAAGTACTGTTACTTACAAGGTAAGTAACACTTTGGAGTTGATACTCCTAGCTAGATGCCCCCTAAACAGTCATCCACGTGTATGTGGAAATACATACTAGTGATTTTTATTTAACATATGAAAAGGTATAATACATGCTTTTCTGATTTTAATTTTCTGTTGTCTTGGACACTTAACCATGTCAGTTGCATATAATATTCCACAGTATTATATCAGTGTACTAAGTTTGAGTTATTTATAACTATTTTTTTTTAATGTTTATTTATTTTGAGAGAGAGAGCATGACCCAGGGAGGGGCAGGAAGAGAGGGAAAGAATCCCAAGCAGGCTCCACACTCAGTGTGGAGCCCGATGCGGGGCTTGATCTCACAACCATGAGATCATGACCTGAGTCCAAATCGAGTTGGATGCTTAACTGACGGAGCCACCCTGGCGCCCCATATAACTGTATTTATAACAGTGCTGAAATGAACATCTTGGGACATAAATGTTTGGGTACTTACTTGAGTATTTCTTTGGGATTAAATTCCTAGAAATGGAATTGTTGGTGAAAAGGATACATATATGCAATTAAAAACATTTTTTTTAATTTTTTATTTTTATTTTTTCAATATATGAAATTTATTGTCAAATTGGTTTCCATACAACACCCAGTGCTTATCCCAAAAGGTGCCCTCCTCAATACCCATCACCCACCCTCCCCTCCCTCCCACCCCCCATCAACCCTCAGTTTGTTCTCAGTTTTTAAGAGTCTCTTATGCTTTGGCTCTCTCCCACTCTAA